AGTTGTAACCCAAAAGAAGGGGACACTGAATGGTTTAAAATCATGAAATGTTATGCTATTGTTGTATCCTGTCACCAAATTTATTTAATGTGTACTCTGAGCAGATAATCTGAGAAGATGGAATATATGAAGAAGAATGTGGTATCAAGAGTGAAGGAAGAGTCACAACTTGTGATAGGCAGATGATACAAACTTGCTTACTGGTAGCAAAGAGGACTTAAAATACTGATGAAGATCAAAGACTACAGCCTTTAGTATGGATTGTACCTCAATGTAGAGAAAACAAAAGTCCTCACCACTAGACAAATAAATAACATGAAGATAAATGGAGAAAAGATTGACGTTGTCAGAGACAACTTCAACGCTCATGGAAGCAACAGTTAAGACATCAAATGACATGTTGCATTAGCCAAATCTGCTGCACAAGACCTCTTTAAACTGTTCAAGAGCAAACACATGGAGCACTAAGGTGTGCCTGGCTCAAGTCATGGAATTTGCAATGGCCTCATATGCATGTGGGACCTGGTGTAACATTGTAGCATAAGCCCTGGACTGCTAACCACAAGGTCAGCAGTTTAAAGCCATCAGCTGTTCCTTGGAAACCCTATACAGGATCACTGTGCTTCAGACCTGACTCGACAGCACTTAAAACAACAAAGTTGGAGAAGGAATAAGGAAGACTGTAGAAAAATCAATGCATTTGATGTTTTGGCAAAAGTATTATGGACTTCCAGAAGAGCAAGCAAATCTGTCTTGGAAGAAGTATAAACAGAAAGTTCCTTAGAAGTGACAATGGCAAGACTTTGTCTCTCATACTTTGGACAAGTTATCAGAAGGGACCATTCCCTGGAGAAGGACATTGCGCTTGGTAAAGTGGAGACTCAGTGAAAAAGAGAAAGACCCCAGATGAGATGGACTGACACAGTGCCACCAACAATGGGCTCAAGCATAATACCAATTGTGAGGATGGTATAGGACCACGCAATGTTTCATCCTGTTTATGTAGGGTTGCTATGAGGTGGTACCTAACAACAAGAACCATCTTCTCCTACAGATATAGTCAGTTTTATTCCTGTGTGTTCCATTTAGTGAGGTCCACTGTACAGTTGCCTTTTGTTGTTGTTATTAGGTGCTGTTGAGTTGGTTCTGACTCATAGTGACCCAATGCACAGCAGAACAAAACACTGTCTGGTCCTGCACTTTCCTCACAATTGTTACACTTGAATCCATTGTTGCAGCCACTATACCAACCCATCTTATTGGGGCCGTCCTTTTTTTCCATGGCCGTCTACTTTCACAAGCATGGTGTTCTTCTCCAGGGACTGATCCTTCCTGTTAATATGTTTAAAGTATGAGAGACGAAGTTTTGCCATCCTGGCCTCTAAGTAGCATTCTGGCTATACTTCTTCAACACAGATTTGTGTGTTCTTCTGGCAGACCATGGTACTTTCGATATTTTCCACCAACACTATAATTTGAATGCATCAATTCTTCTAAGGGCTTCCTTATTTATGGTCTAACTTTCACATGCTTATGAGGCTATTGAAAATACCATGGCTTAGGTCAGGTGCACCTTGGTCCTCAAACTGACATCTTTGGTCTTGAGAATAATTTAAAGAGGTCTTTTGCAGCAGATTTGCTTAATGCAGTCTGTAGTTGATTTCTTGGCAGCTACTTCCGTGAATGTTGACTGTGGATCCAAGAAAAATGATGTCTTTGGCACCTTAATCTTTTCTCCATTTATCATAATGTTATCTATTGGTACATAAGACCAAGATACAGTTCTTTGAACAGAACAAGGGAACACTGAATGGTTTAAAATTAGGAAAAGGTGTGAGCCAGGGTTGTGTTCTTTCACCAGACTTACTCAATTTCTGAGGAGCTCTGGTAACGTAGTGGTTATGAGTCAGGCTGCCAACCTCAAGGTCAGCAGTTTGAAACTACTAGCGGTTCCACGGGAGAAAGATGAGGCGTTCTGCTCCCGTGAAGATTTACAGCCTCAGAAACCCTGTGCAGGGTCACTATGAGTCGGAACCGACTTCACGGCACTTAACAACAACAACTCAATTTCTATGCTGAACAAATAATTCGAGAAACTGGATTATATGAAGAAAAACATAGCATTGGGATTAGAAGACTCATTAACGACCTGAGATATGCAGATGATACAACCTTGTTTGCTGAAAGCGAAGAGGACCTGAAATACTTACTGATGAAGATCAAAGACCACAACCTTCAGTATGGATTGCACCTCAATGTAAAGAAAACAAAAATCCTCACCATTGGACTAATATATAACACCAAGGTAAATGGAGAAAAGATTGATGTTATCAAAGACTTCATATTACTCAGATCAACCATTAACACTCAGGGAAGCAGAGTCAAAAAGCAAACAATGTATTTCATTAGGCAAATCTGCTGCACAAATCTGCTGTTCAAGAGCAAAGATGTCAGCGAGGACCAAGGGTGCACCTGATCCAACCCAGGGTATTTCCAATCATTTTATATGCATGTGAAAAGTTGGACAACGAACAAGGAAGACCATAAAAGAAATGATGGAATTAAATTACGGTACTGGCGGAGAATATTACAAGTATCATGGGCAGCCAAAAGAACAAACCAATCTGTGTTGGAAGAAGTACAGCCAGAATGCTCCTTAGAAGCCAGGGTGGCCAGACTTTGTCTCTCATAGCTTGGACATATTATCAGGAGGGACCAGTCCCTGGAGAAGGATCTCATGCTTGGTAAAGTTGAGGGTCAGTGAAAAAGAGGAAGACCCCCCTATTAGTGGTCTTGGCACAGTAGCAGCAGCCATGGGCTTAAGCATAGTAACGATCATGAGGTTGGTGTAGGACCGGCCAGTGTTTCATTCTCTTGTGCATAATAAGGTTGCTATGAGTCCGTACCAACTCGCTGGCACCTAACAACAATTTATTAGTCAAGTGGTCGGATTTTTGTATTCTTTACATAGAGGTGCAATCCATACTGAAGACTGTATGTAGTCTTTGACCTTCATCAGTAGTATTTTAAGTCCTTTTCGCTTTCAGCATCTGCCTGTTGTGGGTTGTTAATGAGTCTTCCTCCAATTCTGATGCCACATTCTTCATATAATCAAGTTTCTCGGATTATTTGTTGATCATACACATAAATAAGTATTGTAAAAGGTTACAACATAATAGTCGCCTTTCCTATTGTTGGAAAATGGTATTTGTAAAGAATAACTCATTGGTTTTTTGAAAAATTCCATCATGTGGTTTGCAGCATCGTTTCTATCGCCAAGCACACGAGGTGATTGATAAAAATCCTGATTGATGGAAATGTGTGTGTGAAATCTGTGTCCAGGCAATCACTTCCCACGACCTTCGTCTCTCTCTCACCCACGCCTCCAGGCGTCCCAGCCGCTTCCACCGCCAGCAGGGTCAGGGAGGGTGTTAATCAGTTTGCTTCCTGCAGATAGACCGTACTCTTTGCTGGCATAGCTACCCTTCAGCTCCAACTTTGCATAGTCAGCCCGGCCTTTTCTGACCACGCCTGCGCGGTCAGACCCTAGCAACCTGGCTCGGACCCTCTGCGCATGTGCAAGGCCCGGGCGGAGGCGATCCTTCGTGGTGCTCCCGTGAGGCATTGCGAGAAGCGGGAGGCCGGAGAGCCGTTGTTGCCGGGTCTTGTGAGGGTGCGCGCGGGAGCCTTCTGAGGTGAGCTGCGGTGTCGGCAAGCTCCGGTCGTTTGGGGTTGTGGGGAGATAAGAGTGGCGGCGATCCCCCACCTTGTCCCGCTAGTCGTCCCTTTCCTTGCGTCCTCGGTGGCTCCTTTCAGGCTCGCGAGTAGCCGCTCGCGCGCCTCAGTTGTCGCCCTGAAGGGCTGGGAGGCGCGAGCGCCCCGCAAGTGCGCGGGTGCTGAGGCGGGGGCGGGGCGGATTGACGGTCCCGGGTTCGTGCCGCTTGTTTTTATGGCGACGCAGCGTGTGTGGGTTTAACCAAAGCCCCAAACCCATGGTTTTGTCTGACGTCTGTCGGAGTTGTCCCGGTCACTGACGTTGACTAAGGCCAGTATGGCTGGGCATTCGATGCAAATGACGTTTCCTTCGTGAGGGCTGTGGGCTGGTCGAGTTGCGGTGATGTCCACCCCACAGGCATCTCGGGAATGGTGGGCGAGTGTGCAGCGCGGGCTGGTGGGCTCAGCGAGTCTCTGGTCCTCATTTCCTCAATGAAAACACTTAAGTGGCTCCATCAGTTAGGAGTGAAGAGCTGAACGGCTCGTACGGGAACGAGTTTATCTTTGGAGGAAATGCTCAAGATCTTCTTGTCCCCTAGGTTTTTGTGGATGGACGACTAAACCCACTGCCACCGAATCGCGTTAGACTCGCAGCGAGCTAGTAGGACAGAGGAGGCCATCTATAGGGAGCAAATCTTGCCACGTCTTCCTTCCAGGAACGGTGGGTTCAAACCACCAGGCTGAATTTCAGTTAGCAGCAGTTCCGTGCTTCCCCCACGGTGCCACCAACACTTCCTGCTGCAGAGTGCCCGAATTTGTTGATCTTCATCAGACATTTCCAGGTAGATGGTCCCCAAATATCACATGACCCATCATTTCCAGTTTGTTGTTGTTGTTGTGAAGTGCTGTCGAGTCGATTCCGACCCATAGACCTTGTATAGGGTTTCCGAGGAGCAGCTGGTGAGTTTGAACCGCCGACCTTGTAGTTCAAACGGCTTTGCAGGCTGGTGCATTAACCCACAGCGCCACACCAGGACTGACTCCCCAAATACCACGTGACATTCCACGGCCATCTTCCTTTAAAACAACGTGATTGCCTTATTTGTGGTCTAACACTTGTTTTTATGTTTTGTTTTGTTCTCCCTTAGGAAAAAGCATTACACATTCTAAAATTCTTCCCCCCCCTCCATGAACTTAATATAAAATTAATTTTGTTTGAATTTATTTTCTGAAACTCAACACCATCAACCAGTATCTACTTTATGCAAAATTGAGGTAGGTAAACCATGAGCTGTGGAAATGAGTTCGTGGAAACATTAAAAAAAATTGGCTATCCAAAGGCAGCTATGCTTAATGGAGAAGATTTTGACTGGCTGTTTGAGACTGCTGAAGCGGAATCGTTTTTGAAGTGGTTTTGTGGGAATGTGAATGAACAGAACGTGTTGTCTGAAAAAGAACTGCAAGCTTTCAGTCTTCTGCAGAAATCAGGCAAGCCCATCCTAGAAGAAGCCGCACTGGATGAAGTTCTTAAAGCTTGTAAAACTTCTGATTTGAAGACACACAGTGTAGATGACAAAGATCTAGAGAAATTAGAGGAAGAGGTTCAAATTCTTCAGAAACTAAAGAACCTAAAAATCCAGCGACGTAATAAATGCCAGTTAATGGCTTCCGTAATGAGCCACAAATCTCAAACGTTGAGCACTAAAGGAGATGAAGCCACGAAAAAGCTGAAGCAGAGTCAAGGAATTCTCCATGCGATGAATACTAAAATCAGTAATGAACTTCAGGCTCTCACTGATGGAGTTGCAAAGCTGATGCTGTTCTACAGATCTTCTTTAGGACAAGGGACAGCTCCAATGGTGTTTTTGTCTCAGTTTTCCTTAGAAAAATACCTAAGCCAGGAAGAGCAAAGTACAGCAGCATTAACTTTATATACCAAGAAACAGTTCTTTCAGGGTATACACGCAGTAGTTGAAAGTTCAAATGAAGACAATTTTCAATTATTAGATATACAGGCACCATCTCTTTGTGACAATCAAGAAATCTTGGAGGAAAGACGGCTAGAGATGGCTAGGCTGCAGCTGGCGTACATTTGTGCTCAACATCAGTTAATTCATTTGAAAGCAAGTAACTTGAGCATGAAGTCAAGTATAAAGTGGGCAGAGGAGAATCTTGAGATCCTAACCAGCAAGGTGAGTCCAAGAAATGAGACAGATTCGTATTATACTTGTTGGGAATAGAGGGTACTGTTGCACTTAAAGGATGTACGGTTGAAAAGGAGAACATAATAAGTAATTACATTTTCTTATTTTCTCTTTGTTCACTGCTTAACCGAGTTAATTTTAACAGAAGCATTTTATTTGTATTCTGAATTTGACATTTATGATCGTTCAGATGCAAACTGACCTGAAATTAACTTTTTTCATGATATATGGGTAAAGGGCCTTTTTGCTGTAATCTGGGTTTTTTTTTTATTTGTTTGTTCAGACCAAAACTTGATGCTAATGCAGTCACAAGCCAAGTTCTGTAACCCCAATTCCTTGTTGAGAATGTATAGATGTCTTACAGATACCCATCTGTACTCTTGGTTATGTAACTGTTAGATACTTTAGTAGAATTACAAGGAGGCTTCAGAAAGTTTGTGGAAAAACAGAATTGAAAGATAATTGAATTTTTTCCAAAAAAAATTTGAAGCCCTCATGTGTAACTTTTCTGAAATTGAACATCAGCATCAAGTTAGTTACTATAACAGAAGTGACCTTTGGAATAATATAAGACGTTCTGTAATTCTCTTGAAATGCTAAAGCCAGATGACTAAAAGAATGATTACTGGGCTAATTTTATTTTAACTTTAGATTTAAGAAAAACTTAGCCAGCAAACACTTGCATTTAGTGAGTAGTTTGCTAATTATGATTTTATTAAGCAAAACAAGCATGAAAAGATCTCTATATTGTTAGCCATTACTATACATATGATCAAAATAGATCGAACACTATGGCTCTGTAGGATAAGCACTGGATTGCTAACTATAGTGTTGATAGCTCGT